GGCTCTGAGCTGTCTGCACAGAGCCCAATGCAGGGCTCGAGCCCACGAACCGTGAGATCATGACCTGAACCAAAGTTGGATGCTTAACCAACTGAGCCACCTAGGGACTCCAGCACTATTTCTTTAAGAGAATTTTCCACTGGAATCCTTGACACCTTTGTAAAAAATCAATTGACCATTTATATCTGGATCTGTTTCTAGATTCTCTTTTGTTCTATTGATTTACATGTCTATTCAATATCACAGTCTTGATGTTGCCATTTCATAGATTGTATTAATCTGTTGTTCTTTTAAAAAATTGCTTTGGGGGCGCCTGGGTGGCTCGATCGGTTAAGCGTCCGACTTCGGCTCAGGTCATGATCTCGCGGTCCGTGAGTTCGAGCCCCGCGTCGGGCTCTGTGCTGACGGCTCAGAGCCTGGAGCCTGTTTCAGATTCTGTGTCTCCCTCTCTCTCTGCCCCTCCCCTGTTCATGCTCTGTCTCTCTCTGTCTCAAAAATAAATAAACGTTAAAAAAAATTTTTTAAAAATTGCTTTGGCTCTTATGATTTAGGAACATTTGTTTATTTATGTTCTATGACATAAAATGCCATTTGCTCCTAATAAGGGTAATTTTTGTGTCCCCAAACGCTACCATAAATAAGCTCGTAAAATAATTTTAAATAAAATGGAATTTTTGTTATGATTATTTGATAGACAAATTGGTGGTACATGGATATTAACGTTCAAGGACCACATTAAAACTGTATTTGAATGTGAGCTTTGTGAAAATGTAGTTCATGACAATGGATGATTTACTTAACCTCCATAAGCCCAATTTCTTCTCTTGTACAATGGCATCTATCTCAAAAGGTTATCATGGAACTTAGGACATAAAGTTAATGAGCATCTACATACAGCATATTAGCTATTAATATTATCACAATGGTCTAGTGTATCACATCTTGGACATATAAGAACTTTTATAAACAAGACCAGATGAGACCATTTCACTTGTGCATTACATAAAAGATGATTGGGGAAGGGTGATGATCAGATGTGGGGTTTCTTTTACATTGATTTTGATATATTTCATCTTGGAATTAATTTTTAAGATGATAGGAATTGCCAAAAACTATACCATATTATTTTTAAATTTAAGTAACAAACACAATTTTTATTTTATTTAAAAAATTTTTTTTCAATGTTTATTTTTGAGAGAGAGAGAGAGACAGAGCATGAGCAGATGAGGGGCAGAGAGAGAGGGAGACACAGAATCCAAAACAGGCTGTAGGCTATGAGCTGTCAGCCCAGAGTCTGATGCGAGACTCAAACCCATGAACACTGAGATCATGACCCGATCTGAAGTCGGACGTTGAACTGACTGAGCCACGCAGGTGCCCTAAACAAAAATTTTAGATCTGTAATGACATTAAGAGATTATCTATTTCTCCAGTTGTTTACACTTGGAAGCTGGTAGCTCCCTCCTCATATTCTGACAGAACGTGTTGACTTCTCTTATCCCTTCTAGAAGTGAAAAGCCTGCGTATCAACCAATAGCATTTTGTTCGGCAATGCAATAAAAAATTTACAGTTGTAATGGTGCAACCTATCAAAAATCAGGATTTGATTATTATATTCATTAATACACAGAAGTTAGAATTTCCTTAAAATAGACTCATCTGAACTATGGAGTGTTTCTTAGAAGCCAAAGCTGGGAGTTGGATGTGGGCCGTTCTTACAAATGATACTCAGTATCGAAGAGTGTGTTCTGTATCTTACTGTACGTTTTATCCCAATATTTGAATGTGTTCAAATAATCTCATTGATAAAATACTAAAAATTTAAAATAAAATCAATGAGTATCTAATTTCTGAATGTATACTGATGAATGTTTACAGTATAAAGAAAACATGTACACCAAAGTAAAATTCAATTGTGTGCTAATAAAACAATTTTGAGGTGAGCCAAATTATGAAATCTTCTGCCTTAGAGATTTTTGATGACATACAGCAAGGAACATTTGGCAATGTCTGGACACGTTTCCAGTGGTCACAACTGGGAGGAGGGAGAGGGAGGTACCACTGAAATCTACTAAGTCAAGGCCAAGAATACTGCCTGACATCCTACAATTCACAGGATGCCCTCCCCCCAACAAAGAATTATTTGGGCCCAATGTCAATAGTGTGAGGAACACTGACATATAGTTACCTTTCTAGATGGACCCCCAAGCCCCCTCATTGTCCAAGGGTGCAGAATAAAATCAAAAGAATGGATGAAGACCCTAATAACTTTCCTCCCTTTTGATTTGTTTGATAAGCTTTGCCTATTTTCAAATTAAAAATATGCCAAAGCACATAAAAGCAAATCTGAACCCTAGTGCTTTTATTTGTGTATGTGCTCTGAAGGATCTGATTTTTGTATCGGGTCTCAATACAATATCTTGGTCTTAGAGTTGGTCCCTTCAATCAGGATACGTTTATCTTCATGAGTTACTAAATTGAGATTTGAGAAAACCTTATAGGCACCTGCTTTTTTAAAGGAGGATAGGTTCATTTTCTTGGTTTCTTTATGTTTTGTTGATTCCTAAGAACTGCCGCCGTTTAAGGCAGCTGTGTTTAAAAACAGAACTCCAGTGACTGCTCAGGAGACAGTGTTCCTTATCAACTCACATTAACTCTCCAATGATGTCTTCCTCATTTTTAAACACTGTATGTCTAGTAGAAATGAGAGGCTGAACATATGGTAGAAAAAGAAGGGGGGAAAAAAGCAAATTAGGTAGTCGTTTGCACGTAGATTTTCTATTTATTTAATTAAGCAGATTTTCTATCCTACAAATCCTGCTACTCTGAGACCCACTGGCAGACGGCACCATGTCATTAAATTAATAATGGCGAGTATTAGATGTACCCGAGTGCTGATTGGATAATTGATTATGAACCAAATATGGGTGTTTTGTGTTTTTATTCCATTTGCTCAACATGAACAAGACCCATCCTGAAACGGGGGGAAAACTAGGTTTGAATTTAAAGATTGACTCATTTGACAGGCATCAAGAAGCTGTACACAGAATGAAAAAAAGTCACTCTAAACTTCTTAGCCCTTGGATACACTCTGGTAACACATTTTCTCTCAGAATCTCATTTCCTTTCAGTCTTTGCTCAAATCTGTTTTTTCTTTTCTTTTCTTATTCCTTGTGTTTTTTTCTTTTGTTGGAGACCTCTCACGTCTGAAAGGAACCTTTGAAAACGGGGGTTTTTCAAGAAATGGAGGTGTTTTGATTTTTGTTATAATAGATGCCAACGAATAGAAATAACTGAATGCTTTTACATCCATAGTGTAAAGACTCTAAATCCCCTCACTGTGGCAGGTTGTGGGTCAGAAAGCTCCCTGGAGAAGCATATTTAAGATTTATAAAAGCAAAGCCAACAAATTTCACTGTGAGCACTGTGAAACCTCAGTGAATATATAACTGTGGCCCCATTGGTTTAGTTTCCTTCCCATAGCGTGCCAGTACTGGTGTTAAGTGAAGAGAAAACCCTTTGGGAACAGTCACAGAGGGGCTAGGTAGCCAACGAGAAGCTCCAGCTGGAAAGACTGAGAGAATAGTTATTAAATAAATGTATGCTGGGTGAATAAATATTTTATGGATCCAAGCCAAGAGATACACTGGTTAAAAAAAAAGAAATGGTGCCATTTTTGTTGCTCAAAATTTTTATTTTTTTTCTGAATATTTATATTTATGCTTTTGTCGCTATCCATGCTGTGGCTTTTTAAACCCTTAGCCACTTTGTGGTTCTAGCCCCAATATAATCATCATCCCTTTACTCTTAGAATTCTTCGTCCCTTGTCTCTTTGCCTTTGTAGGGCTTGTATAAAAGGAGGGCCTTGGAAAATCAATACTTCCTGTGAACTGGAGAGACCATCTGAGCAGTGCCCCAAACAGCAGGATTAGGCAGGTAAAACCAGTTGGAGAGCAGATTATGATCTCTTGGACCAAGGTAGAGTTGTGTGCATGTCTGAAAGGTCATGCTGACTCACCAATGGAATAAGGATCGTGTAGGTTGACCAGGGTGAGGTAGGACTGTCCACAGGATTGTGTGAGCTGTGGTAGCGGAGGCAGTATATATAACATTCATGGACTAAACACTTAGCTAACTATTTTCCTGAAAATGGTCTATGCTCTAAAAGACGAAGATCTAAGCTTTTCTCCTGCTTTGTTTTTTTTTTTTTTAAACTTCTGACGATTCAAGTCACTGCTAAGTCAGTTCTTATGATTTAAAATGAAAGCAAATGGCTATGGTGATGTCGAGAAGACAGCTGACCTGCACCAGTATATTTAAGATTTTTAAATTCTGAGTTAGCTCACCTTATAAAAATACATGTCAATATACTAAATACTCAACAAAGATCCGGGGGGGGGGGGTATTTAAAAATACACTTCTCTTGGATCAGCACCAAAAATATCATTAGTTTTCTGTACAACCCGTTACAAGTTTTTAAGTAGAAGTTAAAATTATTTCTGATAAAAATTACAAACTCCACATAAATCAGTAAAGACACATCCAAACAACTTTCAAACACATTTTGACATCAACGGTAGGCATTTTCACTCGGAAGGGCATTCGAATGTGTACCACTGAATGTCTGCAGTGAAACTTTTTGATGTCAATTCTGTATCATGGGGATATTTCATATCTCACACAAAGGAGGCACTGGTACTTGGAAAATTATTAGAACCGTTATGACTGAGGTGAAGAATTTGTGCAGCCTTCCACAATTTCAAAGAGGTAGTGATAGACGCTTGTCCTCCGGGCGATATCAAATGCGGTCTCTTCCAAGTTGTTTTTCAGACCTGGTTTGATGTAGCGGTTCATCAGGAGGAGTTCTAGGGTATCTTTGCTATCTCTGTTCCCGGCAGCAAGATGTAAGGGGGTCAAGAGGCCTTTTGTTTGGGCGTTAATATCTGCGTCATGCTGGAGTAAGAAAGAAGCTACTCTGGTATTATTCCACTTACAAGCACTGTGCAGGGGTGTCCAGCCATCCACAGTCACCGCGTGGACATCTGCCCCTTGTGCGATCAGCTCACGCACAACATCTAAGTGTCCACTGTAGGCTGCTCGATGAAGAGGGGTATACTCATCTTCATCTCTAGTGTTCACGTGAGTGGACTTTTCAGAAAGTAGTCTCCGCACCGTAGTAAGCTGAGGAGGAAAAGACATCTTAAAAAACCCAGAACAGTCAATGGAGAAAATTAAGCTATCTCGTGGTGTTAGATTTGATGAAGTTCAACATAAACTTCCTTGTCAGCAGATGACTTTAAAATAAAAATGATTTAACATTTCTTTTGGGGACAACAGATTTTTAAGAATGAACAGTTAGTGTTAGCCAGGCTCTTGCGTCTAAGAATGTGATTCTCTGAATATCAAAACATACATTTACTCCTGGTCCAATTAAGGCTCATTGTGTAAAAGCTTTAGTCCTAGATGAATAATACAGGCTATTGGGTTTAATCCTTTATATTTCATTAGTTAAGAAAACATAATAATTGATTGATTCTTCGACAGGATTACCACACCAATATACACAGTGCGTAAACTTTAAAAAATAAACTTCTTTATCAGAAGACAATGCTACAAGAAATCTAGAGATTAAAGAGCTCAAACTAAAACAACCTTAGAAATGTATTTTCAGGAAGCGATTTTCAGCTTGGTCTTTGGATCTCTGGTGGGATGCAGTGTGCTCTTGGGTTAAAAAGTTATCCAAAAATACAAGACCTTTTTGGTTAGTTTACTAACAGACATGGAGGAACTTAGTGAAATGTGGTAGAAGTGGATGAGTGGGAAGAATAGATTGGATAATACTGGGCAAATGAGTATTCCTGAAACTCATTTCTTAAACTGTAAAAGGGAATATTATTATCTTGCAGGGATATAGGATTAAATCAAATAATGTAGTAAAAGCACATGGTATATTTAGTATTCAAAACATGTTAATTCCCATCCTCCCTTTTCTAAACCATAGTTGTCTCTAGGATGATCTTAATGACTTAATAGAAATGATTTAAAAATATAGGTGACTTCTTGCCATCTTTATAATTACCCCTTAAACTTCCAAATAATACTGAATAGGATGCTTTCTGGCTTACTATGTACTTTCATGTACATTTCCTCATATGCTCCTCAAAATCCTATATAAAAGATACAGGTATTATGATGGCCACTTTTACAGGTAAGAAAATAGAGGTTCAGAAATGGTGGGATTTGCCAAAGTTACAAACCAAATAGAGGTTCAGGGATAGTTCTTCTGGCTCCAAATCCAATACTTTTCCTACTATATTATGATTTCCTCTTTAACTGTTTTTTGTTTTGGTTTTTTGGTTTTTTTACCCGATTTCTTTCAGCAGCCCAAAGAAGCAATTTGCTTGGATCTTTTTCCATTTTTTTTTCTTGCAATTGATACCACTCTTCAGTTTTTTCATCTTGCTCCTCATCTTCGTCAGAATTCCCTACCCAGAGACTTTGGGTACCAGTGGGAATAAGGTGTCCATGCGTTTCCAACAATTCAAGTTGGTTAAAGTGTTCAGAAAAGTCCAAGGAATTTTCTGTATCTGGTTTTCCATCATCATTTACTTTCCCTTTTTCCATTTTTACTGTTATTCTAAATACAAAGCATTTCAAATGCCAGCGTATAATTAATCTTTCTAGTGATGAATTATGTCTGCTTTATTTTATCCATCAAGATCTGGAAACACAAACATAAAAATTATTAGAAAAACAGTAACTGAGTGTTTATCAATAGCATAGATAAGTTTTGCAAACACATACAATAAACCCTGTCTGAACTTTTTGGATTTATTGGTACTTTACATTCTCTAAATGCTGGAAATGAGATTTCAGTTATCTGTATCTTCAATGGTCTAAAACTTCTTATTTTTTAAGTCCATGGTTATATTTTTCTGAATCTATTGGTTTAGATACTATTGTACTATACTGAGTGATAAATGCTTAAAGCTTCTAAATTATAATTTAAAAGAAAGGCACGTTCATGATTTTTATAGACTAGACAAATGATGCAAAGCACAAACAAAAACTTTTAATTTCTAATAAACTACTTCAAAGACTTAGGCATTCTTAAAGATGGAATAGCCTCAAGGGCATCTGTTCAAATCTCTTGTCAATGCAGGTATCTTTATTGTAACGTCTATAATAATTATCCTGTTTCTACTTTGGTAATTTCAGGCTTGGGAAAATTCACTGCTTTTAAAAGGAGTCCCATTCATTGATAGACAACTATAGTTCTCAGTTGGCTTCTTGTTTTGAACTGAATTTTGGCTGTCACTCACTCCATTCAACAAATATGAATAGAATGCCTGGTATGTGCCAGTCTCTGGATATTGGGATTCAACAATGAACAAGACCCATGTCTTAACCTCATGAAGCTTATTGTCTAGTGGGGATGACCAGTAAGAACAGCACGATCTGTGCTATAACAGGACCTTGTCCAAATACAATGAGTATACAAGAGGGTTATAATTAACCCAGTCCTACAGGATTAGAGAAGGCTTCTTGAAGGAAGTAACATTTATTCAGCTAGCCTGCCATATTAACTTATAAACCAGTATCAGCTTAAAGAGTTACACAGCTTATTAAATCTTAGCCAATTTTTAAAAATGTGACTAACTAATAAATATCTTAAAAATACCATGTCTCTGCCTTCCAATTATATTTGCTGAAATCAGCCTATCAAGGCTCTTCTCAGATGTTATCTCTTTCATTAAGTCTTTCCTGAACCTCGAAATGAGATCTCTCTCTGGTAGCTTTTTCTGTGCTACATATTGCCTTGTTTCAGCACTAATCTGTTCTTGTTTTAGTCCCTCAGAAGTTAATAAGCTTAAGGATAGGGTCTGTATTTAACTTATCTCTATGCCCTACTTATACAGAGGGCATTAAGAAATATTTGTAGAGGGGCACCTGGGTGGCTCAGTCGGTTGAGTGTCCGACTTCAGCTCAGGTCATGATCTCACAGTCTGTGAGTTCGAGCCCCACATTGGGCTCTGTGCTGATGGCTCAGAGCCTGGAGCCTGCTTCCGATTCTGTGTCTCCTTTTCTCTCTGCCCCTTCCCTGCTCATGCTCTCTCTCTGTCTCAAAAATAAATAAAAACATTAAAAAAAAATTTGTAGAATTAAATTTAATTAAAGCCCTATCACTTGATTTTGTGTGGAATGCAGAAGGGATTGAGAGAAGTTCCTGAGTTAGTCATACCCTTAAGATACTAATTTCTTTCTAATTTCACCAGTTAAATAGTATTCAATCCTTATATGGCATTAGATTTTATTACTAGAGCCAAGAGTACTAAATTCAAGTTTCAATCTATTACTCATAACTAATAACTTCTCTTGTCCTGTTACTTCATTGTAAAATGTAATGACTGTACTAAAGGATTTCCAAGTCCTGCCCAGCTTTTCAGTCTATTGGGAGGCCCCATCAGAACTGCTTTGTGTTTTGCAAGTTCTCTTGGAATTTTCACTTTTTATTATTGACCTATTGTTGATACACAATGCTATATTAGCTTCAGGTGTACGACACAGTGATTCGACAACTCTATACATTATTCAATGCTCACCACAGTATCCTTTATTTCTGACTATATTCACTTATTGATTATACTCCTCACTATATTCCTTGACTATATTCTCTATGCTGTACTTTTCATTTCTGACTTATTTTTTTTATAACTGGTAGTTTGTACCTCCCAAACCTTTCACCTATTTTGTCTATCTCCCTTCCCCTCTCCCCTCTGGTAACCACCAGTTTGTTCTGTATTTATGAACTTTGTATTTAGGAACTCCCATCGGAGTTCTCATCTTTTTCTTTCCTCTCAAACTATTCTTTGAACCTTGCAACACAAAAATGACCATACATCAATTCATTAAACACTTAATAGATACCGAGAAATAAAGTTCATTTAATTGTAGAAAATATAGAAACAATAAAGCACATATTTTATCCTCCCCTTTCCTTTCTATAAAAACTCCCTCTCCCCTTTTTAAAGTAAATTCTGAATTTACTGCTTCAGACAGAATAAGTTACGTGTAAAATGTATTTTTAAATTTTAGGTAGATTAAGAGTCAAACCTAGAGTCAAAAAATCGATTAAGATTCTTACTTGACGACATTCCACCAGGAAGAAACATACCCCATGTTTCTTACAAGAACACATTTCGACAGAGATCTAAACCATGTCAACTCCTTACAAAAAACTCAGTGACAGATGGTATCATAAACCCCATTTTACAGGTGAAGGCGCTGAGTTTCGGGTAGATTAAAACAACCTGCCCTAGACTAAGGACCCTTTAATGGCACTGAAAGGTCAAATTTTCTAATTCAAAAGTTTCACTTTATATATATATACACACACACACACACACACACACACACACACACACACACACACACACACTATATTTTACTGCTACGAGCACAAAGTAGTACAGATGTGCTGAACCCAGGGTCCAGAGGCGAAAATAAAGGATGCGGGGAATAAATACAAGGGCCCGAATGCTCTAACTCTGGGGAGTGGGAGTGAGGGAGAAGCCCTCTGGCACCGATTGGTCATTTCACAGGCCCGGAGTCGCGCCTGCGGCCTTCCAAACAGCCAAGAGTGGAGAAGCCGCTCCAGCCCTATCCAAAACCCACGACGCAGCCCGTTCAGCAGGGCTCAGCAGGGGTCGACAGGTGACCCGCCCCTAAGGGCCCACTAGTTTTTAGGTGGCGCGAGGGGACCAAGGAGCGCGGGCCGGGACAAGCAAGAGCTACCCACCTTAAAGAAGGGAAAATCGCCGCCGCGAACCTCGCTTCCGGGGTCGTCCCTCAGCTTCTCTGGATTGGCTCTCGCATGAGGGCGGGGCCTCGCCGCTACTTTCCCGGCTCCTCACGGCATTTGGTAGCCAATGAGAGCCGGAGAAGACCTGAGTGCTACGTCATCAGTGAGGTATCGCGAGAGAAAGAGCTGCTTTTTCTCTCCCGCCTAATTCAGGTAAGTGGCCCCGCGGGTTCTGAGACCGGCGCTCGTGAGTTGCTGTTGCCTTTCTCTTCGGGAAGCTCGCTCCTTCTTCCCGGGTAAAAGACACCCTGGGGGCCCGTTGAGGCTTTGGGAGAGTGAGGGTGCGGGATAATTTGGGAAACGTACTGCCTATTTCTGTGGGATCCGGGGAGGAAGCCCTGAGTGGATTGACTCTGGAGAAGAATGGGACGGGTCGGCTAAGTCCTGGAAGGTTCTGGTTCTGGTTTCAGAGTCCGGTGGTGTGTGTGTGTTGAGGCTTGGGATCTCGACCGAACCAGGAGGCCGGACGTGGGAGGGGTGGTTTCACGGTGGCATACACTCTTGCCCGAATATTTTGGCCATTTCCACTTGCTTTGCAGGCGCCGGGCGTTTTTCTGCGGAGCACGTGTTTCTTTTTATTTACAGTCTTTTTAAAGGTGGGCCCTTCTCTTTTCATAAATTAGACCTTTTCTTTAAACAGCCTTGTGTTTCAGCAGAAAGTATGGGGTCACCTCCATGCTCCAGGGTAGGCTGCACATGGAGTTTAAACATTTCTGCACACCCAGAATTGTTTGTGTGCTAAAAACCAAAACTGCTGTATGTGACCCTTTTTGCCCATTCATTTGATGGACATTAGTTTCCCATAGTTTAATCATAATGGTGCAATTAGAATGGCACTGGGGATGTGCCATTTTCTATTGTTGGTTCTTAAGTAAAAATGTAGTAGGTCCTTAGATGAAAATGAGATTCCAAAAATTGGTAGTCTGTTTTTAAAAGAATGTGCGTTTTATAATAATGTAATTTTGCTTTTAGTATTGGGATTTGAAATCGAGTGAGTTCTCTGACTTATTTGAGCACACGACCCAGGAGTACTTGGAGAAAAAACTGGTTCCAGAGGACCTAGACTGACGGTAGAAATGAGTCCTGCAGATGCCCTGTAAGCACTTGTCTTCTGGAATCTTTTTTGTTGCTTTGGATTTCTAAAGCCCATCAACTATGATCGCCGTAAAAGAAAACTTATTTAATAAATTGGCAGTAAATAAAGAGCTTGCCTATGAACAGAAATGTTAGCGATCAAAAAACATTTAGAATGTTAAAAAAAAAATTACTATTGTATGTTTACTAACTTAAAGATAATATTCACCTGTAGGTTGAAGCCTTGCAGTAATTTGGTGTATTACTTTAGTATATAAGTTTATATTCTTAGGTTTTGTCTTAAAATAGTGAAGCTATAAATATGTTTGAGCTTTTGTGAGGAAGTCTTAACTAGTCAGTGCAAGCCTATTTAAACAGTAAATTGCTCTAGCATTGAATCAATTGGAAATGAATCTGAGTAAAATGAAAATCAATAAAAGAATCAGAAGTTATGTGGGAAAAGCATTAGATTTGGTGTCTAACTTCAGTTCCTTGGTTAATACTGTGTGACCTTGGGCAAATTAGCAGTTCTCTGAACCTTGCCTCAATTTCCTTATCTTATATATATAATTGGAACAAAATTGCCTTTCTCAGATTAATTTAAATGTTTAAATGAGAGAATTCATTTGAAAATACTTCATAAAACGCTATGTATTTTGTAACATAAATTGCTAGGGTAATGTGATCTTGAAAATATTCTGATCAGCCTGTGTGTGTGGCAATTAAAACTGTGTGCGTATATATCATCTTTGAAGTTTCTGAAGAGAAACCTTTTTCTGGAAAAATCTTATATATAAAGATTTCAATTTTGGAGATATATGTGAAAGTTTTTTTAAGTTCCTTGTGGTTTAATGAAAATAGCCTGAGTGGTTAAATCCTGTTTCTTCCACTTAGTTGTGCAATAAATCACTTAATTTCTCTGTTTTGTGTTCTCATTTTTCAGAGACAGTAAATACCTACCTCTTTACATGTGGAAGTTGAGATGAGACCATAAATCCCTAAGTACTTTTTTAAAAAGAGTTAAAAGTTACATTAAATTTAGGAAAGCCGTAATAACTACTACGTTGCTGCTTCACATGAAAGTACCTTTGAATACCACCAAATTCAAATGGACTTGTAAATAATTCTGTTTTGTTACTTGGCCAAATTTGTTAATGAAACACTAACTTTGTATAGAGAGTAGAATCAAGCAAGTGTCTTCTGGGACTGCAGTGTAAGCTTATTAGTTTATGAGGATAAAAGAAGGGCTTTTTAAATGAACCGGTCAAGTATGATTTTCCTGGATGAGTACAAAATAGATAAACAGCGGGTTTAGATATGGGGTCAAATCCTCTTGGTTTTTTTTTGCTCTGGAATAGAATTCGAAAACAACCAGGCTCCCAGGTCCAAGGTAAAAAGGAGTATATAAAACTTGTTGTAACAAGGTTATACTTTTTTGAAGGAGTCACAGAACCTTTTTAAAATTCATATGTTCTGTTTTGAATTAGTGGTAGGCAAACTATGTAATGTTAAAGATCTATTGGATGCTTTACATTTTCAGACCTATTTTGAGGCTAGAAAATCGATTTTACTACATAACTGTTCTTATTTCACAAATTTAGGTTTTAATTGGTTTGAGCATACTCTTATTGTATTGAAATGTTTCTTTTTTAATACAGTGACGATGAAAATACATTTAAAATCTTAGTTGCAACAGATATTCATCTGGGATTTATGGAGAAAGATGCAGTCAGAGGAAATGACACATTTGTAACATTTGATGAGATTTTAAGACTTGCCCAGGAAAATGAAGTGAGTTGGGTTTACATTTTTCAGTTTCTGCTATGTTCTTTTAGTCAATAGGCTCATTGCTTTCTTAAAGTTGGAGGTTGGTTTTACAGGCTCATGTGCCTACGTTGCCTGCTTAAATGTCAATATACGAAAAGCCTAAAGCAGATTTTGAGTGCCTTGTCACCTTAATTCAGGTAGGAGCTACTTTTGTCAGAGGTTTGTAAAAGTTTACAAATATTTATGGGGTGTTTACAGAGTGCTGGATCCTGTGGCAGTTTCTATTTGAAATGGAAAGATGACATAGTTTCTGCTTTCTAAGAACATAAAGCATAACAGGATGTAAGATTTAGACAAATGTCCATAATGCTCAGATGCAAGGTCTTAATGTGGTAAGAACCGTAAGAAAATTATCAGCAGCCTTTCCTGGGAGTTTAGACATAGAAAAGATCACATAGAGGATAGCAAGATCAGTTTAATGAACGAGATGGCATTTAACTTGGGCTTTGAAGGATGGGTAGGTTTTTGATGGGTGCAGAGCATAGAGAATGTACATTTCACAGGAAGCAGGAAGAAGGGCACAGAGGTGAGACAATATGAGAGGTACGTTAAGGGTACAACAAGTCAGTTTGGCTCATTTGTAGGCCATTAGAAAATATGCTCAAAGACTAAGACATGATTTGAGCTGCATCAAAAGAGGGCTTCAAATGCCAGATTGAGGAGTTTGTGCCCAATTCATCGGAAAATCTTTGGGCAACGGTATAGCATGAATTGAAGACCGGTTTGAGGCTTTTTTAAAGTAGTGGCATGGGATGGAAAAAAGGAAGTGAATGCCAGAGGTATTTCAAAGATTGGATTTGAATACTTCGGGGGTGGGGTTGTGGGAAAGGGAAGGGACAGTGACTGGAGTATGTTAAGTTTGCGCAAATGGTGGTACCAGTAATAGAAATAGGCTCTAAATAAGGATGAGGTACTTCTTTATGTGGGAAGCTAATGAATTCTGATTTAGATCATTTGAGTTGGGAGATTCCAGTAAGACATTCAGGTCAGTATTCCAGTAGACAGTTGAGATGTCCTGCTGGACATTTCGGAAGAGAGCTGGGGAGTAAACATAAATGCTTATGGTTTACAAATTAGTATCTGTAACCTTGACTTTTCCTCAGTGTTCAGTTTATCTGCAAGTCTTTTGGTTCTTCCTCCTGAATGTATACGGAAACTGTTGTTTTGTGCCTATATATTTAGCCCCAAACTTGTATCATATTTTGCTGCAGTAGCTCCCCATGGGTCTTTCTGTTTGCATTCTTTTTCCCTACATCTGTTCAGCATAGCAGCCAAAATGAACTTCCCGGATATCTCCAAACACTCTTCTCAATTATTCTGTTTATTTTTTTCATCACACCATCTGAAATAATATATTGAATTGTTTACTTGTTGACTATTGACCTTCCTCCACTAGAAGGTAAACTCCATGAGAGGGAAAAATCTTTTCTGCTTATTCATGCTGTATCTTAATATCTAGAAAGGATCCAGCAAGCAGTAGGTAGCTTTTAATAAATTTGTTAATGAGGGGCAGCTCAGTTGGTTAAGCATCCGACTTCGGCTCAGGTCATGATCTCACGGTTTGTGAGTTCAAGCCCCACGTCAGGCTCTGCTGACAGCTCAGACCCCGGAGCCTGCTTCGGATTCTGTGTCTCCCTCTGTCTCTTTCCCTCCCCCACTCACGCTCTCCCCGTCTCTCTCTCA